CCATTTTGAAAAACGTTCTCAGGTAGTTTATTCCACATACGCCGTTCCCCAAATGAAAGAGTTTTTAAACAGTGAATTTTGAGGTATACTGAGTTGAACCTCAAAACGATGAGCAGCCACAGTCTGTCGCGAATTTCTGATATGCACCGCTGTTGGTGGAATCAAATGTGTCAAGTCACTTGAACACTTCCCTTGAAAGTATCTATAGAAGAGAGACAAATCTCCAACCTTTCTTCGATGTTCCAAACTATCAAGGTTGCAAGTGATGTTCGCATCTCCAATGAGGCGTGTGACTCTTTTCTTTAAAGAAGGTCTGATCTGGGCTTCACAAAGCATCAAAAAATGCTGAGGTGTGTACAGTTTTCTGGTGCGGAACAGAGTTCCAAGCTCTTGAGAAGCAGCCTTTGCAACTCCAGCTACATGATTGTGCCGAAACATATTGGTGTCCAATCCCCAATGAACTTTTCGAAGCAGTAAGCGGAATTATCTGACTTGACATTACTATATCTGGCTCGGAAACATTTATCTTTTTGGAGAAAACCGATGCCTGGATTTTTGTGGCATTAAATTGAACTTGGAAAATTTCACCCCAATTGGAAATTACTTCTGTATCCTCATTAAGATATTCAACCTCCTGCTGCCGGAAAAGCCATAGCATCGAAGTTTAGCCAGTAAACCCTCATGTCACACACGGTCAAAGGCCTCAAAAATATCAAGCGCGACAGCTTTCGACTCTCCATATTTCTTGATTGCATTATTCCAAATATGGGTGACATACAATAGAAGATCGCCTGTTGATCTTTGTTTTCGAAACCACATTGATGATTGCTCCAGATGTTGACACCTTCCGAAATAACCAGGCTGGTGGCGGAATAAGGTGTCAGAAGAAAAAAGAAATTGGTAGTACTCATCCAATTCATTAGTTTCTTCCCTTTGATTGCAATCTGGAAGGGTGGAACTGTTCTTCACCAACTTCCAGGTAGTAGTAGGAACTGTCAGGCATTCAAATTTCAGAATTTTCTTGCTCACGATATCCAACAGCATAGGGGATAGAGAGAACGCTTTGACTCTAGAATAATTTACAAGCAACTATTTTATCCAAACCTTTCATTGGGGGTGGCTTCAAAGTCTGATTTCAGCTTTGTGTTTCCTTCAAACGGGGAAATAACATCGGAACCCACTCAATAGTTGTCAGAAATGAAATACGTCAATGTAATTCCTACTCATATCAATGAATAATGATCCAAAACTCAATACATAAACACCCATAAAACCAATTCTTCCCCATAAACCACAACAAAATTAAATAAACATGACAGCTATAGTTCCACCACGATACAAATGAAACTCAATTATAATCAATGAATATTTGAAAAAAAAAAACATGTTTCATTGATACTCCAACAGATGTTTTTTGGTATTTTTTTTTAAAGTGTGAATTAATGAAGAAAACTATGGTGAAGGTAAATGATCTTTTATAAAATTCTTTATTGTGTGCAGGAATATGATGCATATTTTTCCTCCGAAGATTGACGTTATCTACATCTATCCTAATATAACTTTTCTATATAAATATTCAGGATTCAGGACATCATTTGAAGACAACAATTTGAACTTTTTGAATTCGACGTATGTCACTACAATATATACATTCACCACATATAATGTCACAGTGATTGAAATGAGACAATTTCATAGTATCGCTCAACAGTTTCTTCACTTCTAAACTTCAGTATATTCTTTGCTGATATACTATCTGTATTTCACCCAAAGCTTCATGTTTTTGAGTATCGTTACTCAATAATACAACAGAAGAAAGATGATTATTAGAAAGATTGAGGAGGTTTTCTAAATCACGAATAATTTTTAAATTAGCTTCTCTCATATAAAAAAAATGCACAATAAATTTGCGTGTCATCAGCAAACATGTGATAATTGCAATATTTCAGATTACTATGAAAATTGGAGGTATACAATGTATATAAAAATGGTCCCAATACAGAACCTTGTGGAACCCCTTGATGAAAAACTATGCTGATATTTTGCTCTCTATTTCAAAGTACTGAGATCGGTTTGATAAATATGATTTGAGAAAAGAACAAACAGAAGTACTCAAACCAATGAAATGTAAATCTGCAGTTAATATTTGATGATTTAACGTGTCTAATGCCCTAGAATGGTCAATCGATACCAAAACACTCATAACATTTTTATCCCAGGCATACAAAATATCATATGTTTCAGTTGCTGAAACTGTGGAACAGCTGTAACCAGATCTGAAACCAAACTGATAAGATGGTACTATGATATACATTTCTATATGCATTCTGATCTGTTTTTTAATTATTTTTTCCAATACCTTGGACAAAATAGGTAATATACTTATGCTCCTATGTGTTTCACTTTACAATAGCTCCTTTGAGCAGAAATAATATACGCTACATGCTTATCAAGGTACTATTTGAAAAGCGTAGAGATGAAATCGGTTCTCAGTATGTGAGTGATGATCTATACTGTACGTAAAAACTAGAAAAAATTTCAAATCAATGCATCGAGTCCCTATTACATACCACACAACCTGACCTGAATTGAAATATTTTTGCAGTAACAAATAAAACAAAAATTCAATAAATTAAATAATTTTATTAAATTATGTTTCGAACAAGCATTAAGATATCATTATTTACAGTATAGTGCTTTGGAATCATGACGAAAATACATTTTCAAACTATGTACATACTATTTACAAATTATTACGACTTAATTAAGATATAGGAATCAGAATCTCAAAAATTGGATGATATCAGACTCAAACGTTTTACCATAGACGAAGTCGATAACATTGATACATATCTGACATCTATGCATTATATCCTTAAAATCTATAAAATCGTTGTAAAAGAAATATTCACTAGAAGTTTCAAAATTCAACAATATGTTACCCAATTCACAACCTTATGAAAACAATATCATCATTAAAAATATGAGCTACCTAAAAAGTATTGTGGAAAAATATCGATATTATTGGAAACTGTCAATTATTAACTAACGATGTCTTGAAATCACATTTCTTCATTTCAACAATGATGATGTCCATATTTTTCAGTACAATTTTCTTATTTTCGATAGTGGTAGAAGTATATCTCACCACTGTTGATCTTTGAAATAAAATATTGTTGTTCCAATTTCTGCAAAGCGATCCATATCAATACAAAATCAAAAAAGTGATGAATTATTACATCATTTTAAATGCCAAATATCAATATTCATGTACCGAGAAAGAAATAGACTTGTTGATCGTTAATAACCCTTGATATTTCAATTCATAGAATTTTTTATTCTATATTTAGTTAAAGTTGAAAATCCTAGAAAATGTCATCATAAAAAAGCACCATTTCAATAGTTCACAAGTTTCTTTTTTTCCTTCGCTGAAAGAATCACAGAACGAAGACAATAAGAATCAAGCAAAATTTTGCTAGTATTATCGCTAGTGATATCACTAGTGATATCGTCAACAGAATGAATGCATATGAATATCAGAAATTCGAAAGACTTTTTGGGGTCTGAATTTTTCAAAAAATATTCCAATGATGTTTGAAGTAACTTCCAGTAAAGACAAACAAACTTGATTAATTCACTGGTTCCAGCTTGGAGTAATCGATCTTTTGGACGACTTAACAATGTGAGCAAATGGAATTGCTTTCAAAGCAATAAGGATGAGGTTTCTGAAAAACCATGGGAGCACACATAATCGAATGCTTTGGATACATTTGAGGCTGCACATATGTCGATGTTAAACATCATGATATCATCGATTCGTCAGTGAACTTGTTTAAACAGGGAAACGAATGAAAGTAATTCTGAAGCCAATCTTTGTGTTAATTGAATACCTAATAACTTGTACCTCATAGGTACTCAATGGTTAGACCCAGCCTTTCCTCAGTTAGCAACAATTGATAGAAGATATCTAACTTGTACCTCATAAGTACTCAATGGTTAGACCTAGCCTTCCCTCAGTTAGGAACAATTTATAGACGATATTTGAAGTTGCCCGTGAGTAAAATGATTTGGAACGATGAATGAGGAGATGAATGGTTTTGATTAAATTTTTCTTAGTTCCACGTAGTTAACGATCTCAATGTTGGAAGCCCAATCCATTATGACAAAAATAGGTGACTAAACTGAAGAAGGCCAATGTTATTGATTAATTGCCGAATAATCTGAGAGATATATTTCTCCAAGTGGAGAGAAAATTAAAGGAAAATGTTGGAATACTGATTATTTTAGGTTGATGGTTGTTTTCTTAGTGAATCTGCAATGGATGGTCTACCCGTGTTCCTCGAAGAAATGAAACTAACTGAAGCTTTTTCACATAGAAAATTATCGTTCAAGATTCCAACCAATTGAAGAAATTCAAAAAAAAACTAACTATTACAGTTCATTGTATGATTTTCACTATAAAGGGTTACAAAAACAGCGACACGTATTTCGCTATACAATAGCTTCCTCAAACATAAACTGAGAGTTACTTCTAAATCACAACCATTTCATACTTTTACCTTTTACCTACTCGTCTGCCTAAATAATGAATCTACCTGAAAAGGTCAGGTATGAATTCATGAATCAATGAATTTTTCGAAAGTATACCTGTAAATATTTAACCTGTTAGAGAGTATGGAAATAAACGAATTCAAAAACTCTCAACATCATATGAAGGAGCAAACTGAATTGAATAATTCGCCATTATTGAATCTGTTCATTTGCAGATAAAAATGGTTACATTTACAGGTATACTTTCAAAAAATTTATTGATACAGTTGTTGAATTCATATCTGACCTTTTCAGGTAGATTCATTATTCACGCAGACGAGTAGGTAATAGGTTAGAGTATAAAATGGTTGTAATTTAGAAATAACTCTCAGTTTACGCTCGAGGAAGCTATTGTATAGCGAAACACGTGTCGTGGTTTTTGTGAAACCCTTTATAGTAAAAGTCATGCAATAAATTGTATTAATTAGTTTTTCAATGTGGATTTTCATCAGTATCGGCCAGTTCTCTTCAATTGATTAAAGAAATACATAGGAAAAATAACTCCAGTTACCCTGAACCAGTCTTTGATTCTGAAAAAACAATCATTAGGGAAAAAATCTTCTGGAAAGTATTCATTGAACAAAAAATGATTACTGACGTAGCCTATTTTGTTGATAAAAGAATGATTGAAATTCAATATCGCCCAGTGTTGAAAGTAAATTATATTTAGTTAATTACATCAACAAATACAACTTATGTGAATAGTTATAAAAAAATGGACATCAATCACTATGAGAATTTCATTTTGAATATTATCAGGATGTATAGTATCTCTCAACAAACTTAAGTAAACAAAACCCGTATTTTACACATTTCACCTATCTATACTATCATATAAAATGGTAAACTTATTCACATTTTTTACACCTATTGTAATAAGCTCATCAAGCGAAAATATTTCCAAAAACATTGATATATCAAGACTAATATGAAATTTGGTAGTAGTCCGTTAGTACTGGTAGGAATCTCTTCAAAGAATTGTATAGAATTTTTAGATGGACTTAAAAAATACTTATTTGTTAAATAGATCATTACGGTTGTTAATTCTTCAAAATGTAGTACATTTCAAACATTCGTCAAATCCCAGCTTTTCATCGCACGTAGTGATTCAGGAGAATATTGAATTTTATGAAAAATCAGAGCCTAACTGACGACAGGTGTTAAATCAGAACAAATTTTTGAAACGTACTATACCTACCAGTACTTTCAAGCTACCGGGATAATAAATACGAGATTCGTTATAAATAGTCAGCCATTTCTCCATAAATAATTAACAATCTGTTGAACAAACCGCTTTCAGTCCGCTGGAATAAATTAGACTTATTCACGAAAATATCACAATCACAGTTCCCTTAGTAAAATAGGGATGACGGGCCTTCTGCTATTCTCCGGTTGCAGTGAATTCGCCTCGATTTCTTGTTACTTCGTGGCAAACTGTAAAAAATGAAAAGTATGTTAAAAACCGAGTTTAAGTTTATGGAACATATAACAGGTAGAATAATGCAACTAAGTACATATTTGTTTCGGTGACAGAAAATGGTTGGAAGATCTTCTTGTAGTTAACAGTGAGTTCCTCAGAAAGAAGTCTGCAATTAAAAATCAGCAATTTGCTGAGTAACCTGGGAGAATTTGAGCATTTTTGACAAATAATTTAACCCACATGGTGTATATAAAGGGGGTATTACCTCGAAAAGAAGTGTTAATATATTCTCCAGCTGTATTACTAAATGTGATGAATGAATAAATTGAAACACATTTTTTTGAGTAGTTACTAAAAAAATTCAGCATCTATTCAGATAATGAAGAAAGTCAGTTCAATTAATAGTGAAAGCATATTTTTTTTTACACCACCACTTGTTCATTATACATTTAAATTGAATAGAAGGGGTATAATTTTAAAAAAGGTTACTTTTTGAGAAAGGAAGCTTCTGATTTCCAAAAGTAGAAAACCAAAGCCTTTCATTCCCAAACATTTATAATACTTGTCAGACATAATAAAAAAATCTTTATGTCAGCTCAGAAGACAAATAATACTCCACAATTTGAATGAATTTTATATCAACTTTGAATATTTTCCGTAGACATTAGAATTTATTATCAATATGAGGGTATCACTTCGATCTTGCTGGATATCATGTTTAAACTATATTTTCATTTCATGAAACAGGATGTGATACAATACTTTTTCATATGTATCAAGTGAAAACAATTCTTTTTGGATGTTCCGAAGTCAATAAATGAATAACATTTTGTAGGCAAACAGTTCATGAAATTTGATCAGAAATTTCCAAGTGCTTTGCCTTCAGTTACTAAGCATACAACTGTTAAAAAAATGTCATGAAATCATCTCGTTATCATTAATACACTCGGGCTTTATATAAACTATTTTCCAGGATATTACCCAAGTGACATTCAATGAAGCAAAATGTTGATGCCGCATGTTAATTGAATGAAAGTTGCTTCTAATTTATTATTATACTTCAAAATGAACAAAAAATATATAACAACTATTGAAAACATTTTCATATTTCTGAAATATTTTTGCGAGGTGATTGAGTATTTGAATGAAAGTGCTGGAAATCACAATATCTATAACTTTGTTATACAATCCTCTCTAACAAACATTTCGAATACTTTTAGGAATAGTAGATATTTCATTGAATCAAGTCGATTGGATCAGTTAATTATTATTGTATTTAGTAATTGTGAACTGAAACTGACAAAGGCTAAATGATGCCAGAATTTCGGTATCAGTTAATGGAAAATGTCAATAACTCACTTGATCAACGTGTATTTCATGGGAGGTATATAACATTCAAAGTAATCAAATAATTGTAACAAAGAGTTCAATGGACAGGTCTCTCCATTCGTAATAATAGAATATATAACTTTACAGCAATTGTTGCTGAACTATGAAATTTGTTCAGTTTTCAGCATTGTCGGGTTACATGATGTATATGACGTGATAGAAAAAGATTCAAACTTCAGTAAAAATTCCACATGTTGTGAAAACATTTGATGCAATAATCTATTGCTCTTTGAGAACGTTGAGTTTCTGGCAGAATTTAACGGTAGGTATTCAAATCTCGCTATTTTCGAGCCAGATCGCAGTGTCAGACGAAAACCCAGACATGAAAACCTGCAGAACACGGTTAATAGACCCGAAAATATTGGACAATATGTCAGACGTCAAAGCTCACACACCATGATCAAACTTCTAGGAGACCCTGATAACTGCGTGAATTCAATGTATTTTTCACGTTCTTCATCATTGAATTGTCGTATTTTATAATTTTGACATAAAAAAGACCAAAGAATTTCAAAGATGAAGGCCAAAATCTGTCTTTGACACCTATAGGTATCAAAGAGGTTTCGAAAGATAAGTATGTGTGTAATAGGCAGGCTGCCTTGTTCATCCATCACTGCTTGAATCACTGTTCATACTGTTTTTGGCGAGTGCATTGACTTGGGATGTAGGGGTTGAGCAAACCGGCCATCGGATTCCTGCTTCCACGTAGCCCCGTTGGATACGGGAATGGCAGAATCACTTGCGGTTCTGTTATTTCCTAACTGAATGGCATCCCAACGATGGCTTAATCCTAAGGTATGTGTATCCGTGCCGAGAGGATGAATGAAACTGAGCCTATCAGCTGTCTGTAGCATCGCCTTGTCATGGTAAAGCGGGGCTCTGCCTTGATTGACCTTCTTTCCCTAACTACTCGTGGGACTTTCATCGACAGAGTAAACTCAAAATCTTTTTCTGACGCTGAGTCTATAGAGAAGATGGATGTCGAGCTTACGACTCCAACTGACTTCCATGTAAATTTAGTTCAGGAGCGAGAGCTTCTCAACTCTCCAACTCCTGATCCAATAACTTAACCTGAAAAAAGGTTCGGAGGTGCGTCCAAGAAACGACTGAGTCGTCTCCTCAATATGCAGAATCTGTCTCACGTAGAGGAACAAATCCCCCATGAGCAGGTTAGCAAACGTTTGCGCTCAAGTGATGATTCACCATAACCAGAGGCAAAAAATCCTGCACGGTTGAATCTAAGGCATCGTCAGGTGTAGCTGACGTGCAAAAACCCTCATATGGGAAGGTTGTCACGAGTATCAAAGTGGAAATTTTGCACCTTGTCTATCCGACTACCTCAATAACGATGGAACAGCAGAGCATATACTTTGTGCCCGCTCCGCTGGGGACCAAATCAGGTTTGTAGAGTTCGGCAGAACCGTACTCTTACCATCTGACCTGAAGGACTACTCACCATACAAACTAATTAAGAAGCTGAATTCATTTGGTCGAGTGTAAATAGGTGTGAGCCACAATAAACCCTTGCGGGTTGCGGTGGAGGATCGAACAGACCCACTCACTTTTGACCTAACCTAACCTATGGTACTTTCAATGGACAAAATTATAGGATATGGCAATTTACTGAAAAAATATAATGAATTCACATAGTAACTTATCGAGTGAACTGGAAATTTGCCCTTTTTACACCTATATAAAGTCTCCATTATCAGGTTTTCAGATTGGGGAAGGTGAAAATCACCAAACAGATCTATAAAAAACAGAATACCTCTACAAGAAACTCATTTTTGTTCATTGCAGCATATTTTACGTTTCGAGTGTAATATTCTGAAATAATGACAACTGGAACCTCTGGTGTTCGGGAAAAGTGTTTTTTTGATATAATCTTTCACTAGCGATATTCCAAAATGAATCCTGAATAATAATCAGGCGAAATCGCGATAATGACTTCATAGTAATACTTCGTGAAAATGGTCAGTTATGTAACGATTTCCTAAACGAACGGATGCATAAATAATAAACAAACAGATCCGCAACGCTCGCGTAACCTCATCAATCATGAACGATAAATCAGCAACATTTTGCCCCTCTTTCCTTTCCAACGACCGACAAAGCATTCCTCGTTATTTGCCATATTCTCTATTCAGCTCCCTTCGTACAGGGCAAGTAAATAATGAGGGAAGGTCATCCATCGAATTTCCTGTGCGCTGCAGTTTTGCCAACCGCATTCATTATGGCTCATTGTATAAAGTGTAGATAAACGCAGGCTCACCGATTCGTATCATTGACGCTCACAAAGGGTGTTTTTGACGTGATAACGATCTGGTACGTTACGCCATATGGGAAATTATGGTGGTAGAAAACAGAAAACTGCGACCAGGGAAGGACTGAGGTAACCAACTCAATATCAGATCAGTTTCATTCATCTATAAGTTTGTGATTGAATTGAGTAGTCCAGCTGCAAGAGAAATTGGCCCTAGCATAGCAATAAGAAGACGAATACTGAGTTCTATCAGGTACCTCATAAAATATTGATATTTCATGTTTACGTTATTAGTATTTTAGGATTGAACAAACGGAACCGTAATGAGCAGTCTATTAAGTCCGGCAGTAGCAAACTTACACATAGAAAATTTCGAATGACGGGCTGCGAAACCATATTGGTAGCTGCTTTATGTTAATGACACTTCAGTAGTATGGCTCAAAAAAAATGTTTGGTTGTGCATCCAGACGACTGAGTCGTCTCCCCAAGAGCGGGGTACCTTGTAAAACCGCCTTGCACCAAATTCTTGAGCTACGTACGCAAAATCTGTCTCAGGTGGGGGAACAAACCCCCAATGAGCAGGTTAGCAAACGTTTGAACTCAAGTGGTGATTCACCAAAACCAGAGGCGAAAAAGCCTTTCACGGTTGAATCTAAGGCATCGTCAGGTGTAGGTGACGTGCAAAAACCCTCATATGGGAAGGTTGTCGCGGGTATCAAGGTGGGAATCTTGCACCTTGACTATCCGACTACCTCATTAACGATGAAACAGCAGAGCATATACTTTGTGCCTGCCCCGGTGGGGACCCTATCAGGTTTTTAGAGTTCGGCAGAACCGTACTCGGCCGAGCCGTACTCTTACCGTCTGACCTGAAAGACCACTCGGGTGTGAAAAGATGTGAGCTACCCACTTTGGACCTAACCTAACCTAACCTAACCTAGTAGTATGGCAAGATGGTGAGGAGACACTTGACAATCTTCTATCACATCTAAACTCTCCCGACCCAAAAATCCAATTCACAATGGAGCGAGAAACCCAAAGAACTTCATTCTTTTTGTATGTTGTACAAATGTACAGAAAACCAGTACACACAGATAGGTACCTGAACAAAAACTCTTAGCACTAGCCACAACAGAGGGGTAACTAAAACGTTGGTTGGGAGAACACGACGTTTCTGTGAATCTGAAAGTCTTCTTGAAGAGTTCAATTACCTGAAGAATGCCTTCGAAGGGAACGGGTGCAGAAAAGAAGGATTCGTGCGGGCCATATGACCTATGAGAGAAAACTCCAAAATAACCACAGAGAGATTGGTCGAAAAAAAAAGGTTTCCTTTCTTATGGAAGAATCTTAGAGAAATAGGCC